CCGATTCGATCATCGAATACGAAAATACAAATAACCCCGGGGGAGACTGCAAGGCCAGGAACTTACACAAGCAATCTCTAAGAATTCCTCTAGTTTGGGACCAGCAGATGGCATAATGGCTATGCCGCTGGACTCCCACAGTCAACCAGTTTGAGTCCCAGATCCGATGGCTTAAATCTCACGCCGGGCGCGTGTGCGTGCGTGCCCAAAATCCCATGAGAATGGAGGAGAAGGGACTGGCATGGCCGTCCCCCGTGGGCAGTGATTTCTCATTTTCTGTCTCTGTGTCTCCCTACAGCAGAAATCTCTCTTAAAAAAAGAAAAAGAAGTTCTCTAGGTTAGGGGCTGGCTGGTGGTGTGGTGGTTAAGGGCACTGGACTCCCACACGGCCAACCGCGGTTCAAGTCCCAGACCTGGCAGCTGGCTCTCTACTTTCCCCCCCCCCCCCCTCTTTGTCCCTCTCTAGTCAAATTAAAATAAGTAAATAAACAAAAAAGCTAAATAATTCTTAAATAATAATAATAATAATTCCTCTAGCTTAACAGGCAATCAGGGGACCAGCAGTTGGCATAATGGCTATGTTGCTGAACTCCCATGTAGTCGACTACAGTTCAAGTCCCAGACCTGGTGGTTTAAACTCACGCCAGGCGCGTGTGCATGCATACCCAAGATCCCGAGAGGAGAATGGAGGAGAAGGGATTGCGGTGTGGCCATCCTTCCCTCCCCCCCCGGGGGGGGTTCTCGCTTTCTGTCTCTCTGTCTCTTTTTGGTGAGCGCATGCACCCTATAGCAAAAAAAATAAACTCAAAAAAAATAATAATAATAATTAAACAGGCAACCAGGCCCCGCATCAGCCCTCTGAGGACCTGCAAAACTGTCCCAGCCCCATCGCTGTCAGCCCCTTCACGCCCCATCAGCATCTGCACCACAAGGCCTGGGCCCCACGGGGTGCTCCTGCCTGCCATCCTTCCCAGCAGCCCGAGCCCACCCCAGGGCAGAGGCGCAGAAGGGGCCGGCCTGGTGTGTCTGCAGGAGGAAGGAGGAGAGTCTACGTTGGCGGGTTTTTATTATTCTCCTCGGTTAGTTACATTCCATTGATCAGTGAAAACCTTTCTGATCCTTTGAAAATGGTAAAAATCTTGTCTTGCATTCTCTTAGCCTTAATCATTTTGATGAATAATCATATCCTGCTTTCAAATTCTGATTTAATAGCTCCTCCTTAAGTGAGAATTAAAACGACAGTTCTTCTTAGAACAGGATGCGTTAATTGAGCTATTCTAAATACAAATTTCTTTTATCTGACTAACAGACATAGCAGACCTGACAATCCAACTAAAATCCTAAAATGTGTTTCTTCCTGGACATCCAGGGCACCCTCCAGACAGGCTAGTGCAGATGGCACTGGGGCCCTGCAGCGTGTGGCAGGTCCTCCCCCAGTCGTGGATTGACTCAGCTGCTGAA